ATATTCTATTTATTTATATTTAAATGTGATTATTGGAAATATTTTATCAATATAACTTAGAATCAACAATATAAATAAAGGATTAGAGAGACGTGTAAATTTAATGAAGGTTAAAAATATTCAGAGTATTTATCAATGAAAAATAAATGTGATGAATATTAAATACACGCGCTCCATTGATTAAAAATAAATAGACGTATATTTTAGTTGTATAATTAGCTTAATTTCTAAAAATAAATAATCAAACAAAAACAAAAAAAACACGCATACATTCAGGAAAACTTTTCAAGAATCATCAAATGAAAAGTCAAAATTTTATTAACAATAGAGAGAAGATGCATTAAAAGTGTATTTTCATATCTACACATTATTTTTTTATTCTAATAAAAAATAAGCTTCTAGCAAATGAAAGGATTTAAGTAAGAGAAAATGATTCTATTAATAGACCGCACCAGGTGTTTGACATACGTTATACATTTTTTTTTAAATTTTGCCATTAATCTTAAGCAAACACATTCAATTTACCATCTATTAAAGGCTTAGATTCTTTTACCGGAAGACCCATTCTCCGTGTTAACGAGGCAGCCATGTACTGTGATCCATTAAAATCTGCCTAATTCCAACAGATCCTACTAAGAAAGGAATTTAACGATGATTAATGATTTATCATTCTTTTCTTGATTGATCTTCAGAAACCTATTGCGTGTCTGTGTAAACCTAGGCTTTTATCTAAGGCGTCAATTAAAACCCTCCCTATGTAAACACGGATGTTTAAAATTCGTTTGATAATTATAGACAAATAATGTAGGCTTCAGATGGTGATTTATTGTTGGGTTGGAAATTAAATAACCGGAGCGATTGTGAGAAAACGTTCGCTTTATTTAAACTAGCCGATGTATTCCAACTTCTATTTCTGTATTTAGTTCACAGGTTTTCCGAAGTGTGTTTTTAATTTATGTTGTACAAAACTCAAAATAGGTGGGAATTGACTTTGTTCAGTAAAGATACTTTGCAACTGGCATTAATTGTTTACTATTATCTGTTAAATAGTTTCATACCAATAATAGCATAGAACGGTACATTCTTTGGAGCTTCATGTATAGAGCTGGCTTTTCAAACTTAAAGTTTAATTACCTTTGTTCAGTGTAGCAACTTTGCAATTGCCATTAATTGTTTATTGATATATGTTAAATAGTTTGATTGCCAATAACAGCAAAGAAAGATACATACGCTGGAAGCTTAGAGTTGGCTATTCAAACTTAATGTAGCTGGAACGATATAGAGAGAAAATTGTTTCGTAATCTATACTCAATATACACTCAGGAACATTGAAAATAGTGACCCAAGAAAGAAGCTAAGTACAATCGCGAAACTTTGCAAATAAGTACAGCGTAATGTAATATGCAAATGATCCAAGTTTTGTGCCAATACGCATGCTCGTACACGCCGAGGTGGTGCTGCAATCAGGAAGAGGGTGCTATATAAGCCAGTGCAAATTCGAAGATTCATAAACGTGACAATTACCCACCGATTGAAGGAAGACTTTGGTAAGCGAAACATGCCAGGTAAACGTGCTAGAAGACATTTCTCACAGTTAAGCGAGTTTCAGAGAGGCCTGATCATCGGGATGAAACCTGCAGGCTGGTCGACGTGCCGTGTTGCTGGCCAGGTGGATCTTTCAGAGTTTGCCGATAGAAATTGTTGGGAGCAGTGGACACGAGAAGGTATCCACGCGCGGAAAACCGGGTCTGGAGCGACCAGGAAGACCACGAGGAGAGAGGATCGAAGGATCGTGCGGCAATTACTTATGGACCTCACAGTGACTCGTTCAACGATACGAGCAGACGTAGGCGTAGCAATTGTTCCACAAACAATTTCCAGACACCTTGCAGAAGCAAATCTTAAATCCAAGCGCCCTTTCCGTGCACTCCCTTTAACACCGGAACATCGGCAACTGCGTCTACAGTGGTGCCAAGCCAGATCAATGTGGAATGTTACAGATTGGCCAAAGGTTATGTTTAGTGATGAATCCCGGTTTGTTTTGGGGACAGATGATAACCGTGTACGGGTGTGGAGGCGCCCTGGTGAGCGGTACAATTCGCCCCACACTGTTCTATATCACAATACCCGCACAGCTGGTGTAATGGTCTGGGCGTCATAGCCTATGATAGCCGGTCCACTTTAATTGTGATGCGTGGAACCTTAACAGGCCAACGTTACGCTGATGGTATTCTTCGACCCCATGTAGGACCTTTCCTAAATAGTCTCCTAGGAGCAATTTTCCAGCAAGATAATGCTCGTCCACATACAGCAAGAGGTGCTCAAGATTTCCTACGTCATTTTCCGACTCTTCCATGGCCGGCCCGCTCCACCGATTTGTCCCCTGTAGAGCACGTGTGGGATCAGCTAAAACAGCAGAACTTTTATGAACATGAACTTTTATTTGAAGCTCATTTAAACACTTGTAGTGGATGACGAAGTGATGTATTTCAAAAAAAAATATCTTAATTTAATGGCTGATATATATTGAAATTACAAATAAAATGTTTAAAAAGAGAAAAGAATAATTTTTTGAGTGTAAATTTTTATTTAGGAAGAAAATTTGAAAAAGACATTTTTAGAAATTCTTTTAGCTTTAAAAGAACAGCATGCTTACATAAACCCCGAGTTTGGATAGCATAGCTTCAGTTACTTTGACTTATATAACACGAGCTCATTTAACACAAAAGTGGAAATTTAGTTTTTTCATTTTATTCTTTACCAATATTTTTTTTATACAACACACACGCGACTCACGCCCACATAATGCACACACAAATGCCGTATTATCAGTTTATTTATCTATGAAAATGTACTTTTTTTGTTAATCATCTACTAATAAGTACAAAATAATTAAATTCTTTTAAAATGTATCTGAAGAGAGAGAGAAACTGTGTATGTGGCACTGGTAGACAAGTGTTCATGATCACGTACTCGTGAACAGGGTTATTGAGTCGTGTGTTTGAGTCAATATGCCATGAAAGAACCGTTGTTTATAGAAACTGACGAAGAATAAACCTGTATTTCTGTTGTACCTAAGTTCTCCGGTTGGAGCGGTGGAGGGTGGGAGGCAAGCCAAGTATGTCCTCATTACTCTACGACAACGTTTCTCAAACTGTGGGGCACTCCCCCTAGGGGAGTAACTCTACACAGGGGATGCGAGCATATTGAAAAGTCGTAAACAAAAGATAATTTTTTTTTAAAAAAATTTTAATTTATTGAAAGTAAACACAAACAAAATACATACTGACATAATTGCACTATAATTATCATAACTCACATAATTTCACACATTTTCAGTAATACCTAATAAATGTATCAGTACTGCGCAATATATTTTATAATTAATTTAGCAATACTAATTTAAGAACAAGTTAAATAATTATCAGTGACCCCCATGGGCTTGCAATATGTAAAATTATATATACAAACATTAACACTTATCTTGATAATTTGTGTGGTTTAGGATTAATCCCTTAACAGACGATAAAAATTTACTCGTTCCACTCCCCAACGCCACTGTTTTTACTGTAGGCACGTGTATGTCATGTATTGAGGGGGGGGGGAGAAAAGGAATAAATAGGCAAATTCTCTGAAAAAAGTAAATCCTTTGCAGATACTGTCAAGGTGATTTTATTGTAACCCAAAGACTTCCGAAAAAAAATTAAGGACAGCAATGCTTAGAAAAGATCGTACTTCGGAAGGACGTATATATACGTCCGGGACAATCAACGCTTTGGATAAGCGAAACGTTTATATACGTCGGTAGCACTTAAGAAATAAAATTGCATTGTAGCTTTAGCGTCAAAGTATATATTTTTTTTAATTTAATACATTGTTGTTATAAGGAAAGGGGGCGCGATGAAAATCATGATTAAATATTGGGTCGCAAATATTGAAAGTTTGAGAAGCACTGCTCTGCGAGGATTTGAAACTACCAGACCAGTCACCAGTAGTCTTCACGTTAGTTTAGAACAATGATTCCCAAAGTGGACCCCTCAGGGTTCCCGATATTTTTTGGGGGGGGATCGTGGAATATTAAAATTGATTTGGGGGGTCCCTGAACAATGCCATGGGGTCCAATCAAGGTTTAATTTAATTTTTTTAAAAAAATTACATCCATTTTATTTTTATGGAAATTTAAATAACAGTAATTCATTTGGATATTCCCGACTGATTATTGGACCTTTTTGCACATGGACTACCTAAGATCTCAAATACGGACAATTCATGCTGAAACAGGAGCATCTTATTGAAATATCCACAAATGAGGAGCTTAAACTAGTGTTAGAACAACCATACCGCAAATTCTGCTTATAAAAACATGTCCCAATTTTATATCCTGCATTATAGGTTAGTATTCAGAAGTTATTGACTACTTTCCCGTCTTCTAATTGGATAGAAAAGGGATTCAATGACGTAAAAAACCTCAGCCCAGAAAAAAGGAAGTAGACTAAAAACTAGTGTTCGTGGGGATTAGCCGTTGCTACTCACAGACATTGAAACGGACACATGAATACACTCATGGCATTTCATCAAATTCATTCATTTTTATTTTTTGAAGTTATACTTCTTATTGGGTGTTTGGGAAGAAGGATGAGGGTAAATTTTAACGATGCTCGTGCACCCCGTCACGGATGTGACCCATACCGTGACGGAGGCGAATATGCTTTGTCTAGAAATATACAGAATAGGACAGATCATTTTCGCCTTCGAAATTCTCAGAAAAATATTTCTCTTCACTTCCCTGAAGAATGGAGCACCCAGGTTATAACCGGGGACCTCTCGATCTGCAGTCGAATGCTCTACCACTGAGCTATATCCCCGCGTCAGCGAACCTTTTCTTTGAGCTCCTTAGGAACGAATACTAAAATGCTTTGTCTAGAAATATACAGAATGGGATCGATCATTCCAGCCTTCCAAATTTTCCAAAAAAATATTTTCCTTCACTTCCCAGAAGAAGAGGGTACCCGGGTTTGAACCGGAGATCTCTCGATCTGCAGACGAATTCTCTACTACTGAGCTATACACCCCGTGTCAGCGAACCTTTGCTTTGCGTTCCATAGGAACGGATACGAAAATCCCTTGTCTAGAAATATACAGAATGGAACAGATCATTTTCCCGCATTCGAAATTCTCAAAAAAATACTTATTTACTATATTAGTTATACTTCTTTTGGGGAGTTAGGGAAAAAGAATGAGGGTAAATTTTTACGATGCGCGCTCACACCGTCACGGGTGCACGGGCATACCTTCAAGACACCGATGCGAGCACACACCATTGTATAATATTTTAGCATGCCACTTTTTTGGTGCTATGAGACAGATTTTTGGGGGATCATAATAAATATTGTTCTAAAACTTATCTGTTGGGACGCATTCCCCCTGTGCCTTCCTTCCATCTACAGCGATTTGGCTAATATCTCGGCACCCGAGCATTACGGTCCATTCGGACCTGGCTCATTCGATCCCTCTCTATCTGTTTTTCCAGTTATTATAATTTCATGTGTGTGTGTGTGCTCAAAGGGCTATTTCTTTCATATAGTTTGTAATTGTCTTAAACTATTTTAATTTGTTTAAATTCACAATATCTTGGCTCCTATTCGAGTCTCGGACTTGAGATTTGTACCAACTGTTCCTCTCGTCGAGACCCATCCAGTCATCTACTTCATTCCAATTGTGTAAGAGGGAGGGCTTAAGCACTAAAATATCATGCTCTTATTTTAATTCTATGGGGACTAGAAAAATCCCCCCTCCAAGCAATTGAGATTGGAACTCAATTTTTGGTGGTCCGCCATATTTTCGCATTAGCGCGAGCTTTACGTGGAATTGGCCCCCTCCCCCCTACAAGGCTTCCCCAGAAATAACTTAAATCTTTTGCCACCTTGGTCGACCGCACCGGCTGGATTTGATTTTTTTCCCTATGAACACCCTAGATATATTTTTTCAAGACTATAGTCCCTTTTCTTCACCTATATTTAACATTTTAAAATTATAATGTTTTTAAAATCCCGCATAGCTCAGAGGATTTTTGAGCTTAGTTAATGACACTCGGACCATAGGTTTTTCTCGTTGAGCTTTTTCATCTGTTGTAATTTGTGTGTAGATAGTGGGTCTAGAGGGGGCGTTATCACTAAAATTAGAATCCCCATGTTTTTATGGGATTCGATCTTTTGATGACGTCATGATATTACACAGATAGAAGGATGAAACTTTGGGATCACCTACTACTATTCATATCGCTGGGATGCACGTGATAATTTACTTCAGAGTTGTAACCCTCGGGAGAGTTAGTTTCGTTTCCTTTTCCCAAGCTAGCTCCGCCCCATTGGCAACTACAGACTCTGAATCGGATCGAATGAATTCCTTTTGTGTTTCCTCACAACCATGTCCAGTTTCGAGTTGCTGGGTGTCCTGCTTCTATTTTATTTAATTGTTTTAAATGTTTTAATTATTTTAAAATGACCATAACTTGGGGACTCTTCAGGCAGATGTCTTAATATTCTCAGGAACGATTCTTCCTTCCGAGACATTCAATGTAAGGTGTCAGGTGCACATTTGGTTCAACTCATCTCCAGATACAGTCTGCCGACCTCCCCCCCATGTTGTTGGTCATATTGTTCCTATGCGGGGGACAATAAATTTATTTAAACCGTGATTATTTCGGGTTTGGCTTGGTCCGATTGACTGAAGGTTGGTATCGTTCAACTCTGCTCGTGACCGCCTTTCGTCATTGGCCCAGGTTGCTCTGCTCAAGATTTTTAGAAATATTTTCATATTGTTACGCCAAAGAAATATCACTTCTTATGTGCGTACATAAATACACACACTTTTTTAAAATGTATTCAAAAAAAGTAATAAGTTCAATAAATAATTCTTCAAACACAATCGTTTATTTTTAATTGTAATTTTTATTTATGTATCTGGGTAGCATTTTCATTTAGAGGGGAGTTGAAAAATTTCCCTAGTTTTAACTTTAACGAATAATATATACAAAAAAAGTCAATTCCTACTTAGAATAACGAATAAAACTTTAGTTTAGCTACTTTTTATTAAATAGTTACAATTAATATAAATATGTATATACATATGACAAAATCACAACATTAAGTGGTAATGAATAGTTATTAATTATCATTAAAGTATCGTATTGTCATCCAAAACAATCGTGCCTATAAGATTTCAGTTCAACTAAGTGCTTTAAAACGTGAGAAAAAAAAACATTTTCAAGTATTGGCACAAGTCGCCCAAAATGATGCCAACGTGGCTGTATTTGTAATTCTTTAAATAATTAGTTTTAATCAAGTAATTTTTATTAATTATGAAATTATTGTATTCACATCTAAAATAATCATGTATATAAAATTTCAGCTCAATTGAACGCTTTAAAATGTATTTTATTAACGATTGAAAATTCCACAAAGATAAATAAATATATAGAGAGTGTGAGTTAATAGTAGGAATTAAAGAAGGGGTCTGAGAGCAAGTTTTGCCAAGTTAAAAAGATGCCCTTAAGTTAAAGATTGGAGACAACTGCTTTAGAATATGGCGTTAATAAAAATTAAGTCGACTGCCGGCATTGTTTCTTTTCAAGTCGTGTGTTCGAGTCCTGATGACACTGAAGTCCCTCCGTGTAGAAGGAATCAAAGACCTCAAGTTCACGTGATGGTGACTGAAATGTTGTTCATAGTTATTTCAAAATGACAAGATTCGTAACTGCTCTCCTTGGTGAAGCTTGAAAATGCGGCTTTCAATGAACTAAGGATTCGTATTTAGATTGGAAGCATTGTGTTTCAAGTAAAATGTAAATTCATACAAAAGCAAAATATTTTTAAATAAAGCCATTTGTTTTAACTCTCTCGCTGCGCATCCCGCGATTTTCACGAGCAACGTAGATGTAGCAAAATTTTCGCTACCCGCGATTTCCGCTGTTATGCATTTTTACCAACTATTAAGCTGTGCAACCCGTGCTGTCTTTGTTTGTGTTTTCATTTCTGTTTTTATGCTCATATTTTTTATGAACTAATTCAATATTTTAAAATAAATCTCTTTTAAACAAAATTTTGTTTGTGTATTTTTACATTAAAATGTAGATACAATACGTAGATTTGAAATACGCAATTTTTGAACTTATTTTAATAATAATAATAATAATAATAAAACTCCGCAGCAAGAGGGGTAAATGAGTTTTAAATCCCACATTTTCGATTGAATTTTTTCTCATTGTGGTGTACGGGTTACTCGGCAAATTCCTTAGTATGTACTTAGCTGCAAATATTTAGTCAGCCATATAGTGACACAGACAGAAAAATCTTTAATATAAGATTAAATAAATCTGATCGTAATTTTGTACCTCATAAATCATGTTACCAGTTTCCGAAATATGCAGCCTTGTGAAATAATTTGAAGAATCTTCCATTCTACCTATCGGTACCTTATTCGAGGAAATATTCTTCGTGTCCGTCTTTTCCATCGCCCTACCTACACACACACATACGCACTTTTTTTTGGCGGGTTCATAATGCTTGACGCGTAATTTACCGCCCGATGAGACTGGTCGTAAATCAAGTACGATCACCGCGGGATTTATGGCTCGAAAAGAAAATGGGCAAAAAAATACTTGCTTAAAGTACTATTTATCTAGGTATTGTTTTTACCCTAGGGCCTTTTGTCATCCTGGTTTTTCGTCTCGTCCTCATGGGCTTTCTTTTTATGCATCTACTTTCGGCATTCACGATACCCTTTTCGTATTTATTTACTTTTAATCCCCCTGTTATTTTTAGATTTAAATATAAGCCATACAATGGAGAAATAACAAGATAAAATTAATGGATATTATCTTAAATGAGAAAAACGATGTACGATGTGTATTTCCAAAATTTATGGTTGATTGAATATGCTCTGTTTATATGATCAATAGTTTAATTGAAATTATGATTGAACATTTGGCTTTAAATGTTACTAGTGATATTGAAATTGTATACGAGTTAAAACGTCTTTTTTTTCAGGTAAAATAATGACCAATATTTTAATACAATAAATGACTTAATTAGAGGGTGAATGATATAAGAGTTATTCAGTTATGCAATTTGTACAGCTAGATGTTCCTGATCAGAATATATTGCTAGTATCTCCATATATATTATGAATTCTCACAGAACCAATTTTAATTAATTTTATACTCATTATGAGAGAGCAACATCTAGTAGGGAATTTTCAAATATTAATAAGAAATTTCTTAAGGTTCGTTTAATTACCCCCCAATAATATGTACAAATGTATACACTATTAAAGGAACACGTGCGATTCAATTTACGGAAATCCAATTTTTTTTATCCTAAATTATCCTTTATATACCTTTCTATAATCTCACAAAATTGGAAAGCTCTAAGTTTAAAAAACACAGAGTTGTGATAACGTTTAGGTTTGTTTTTATTTACATCCCAATTTTAAATCAAAACTTTAAACTGACTTATCTCAGAAAGATAAAATAACTAGTTTGCCTTTATTTAAAGTGCTAAGTTTTTTTAAATTTTCTATTGTGCCTAATACTTGGGAATGTTTTTTTACTTGTTGCTAATAGTACATCGAACAAACGTTGGTATACTTTTTGTATTCAAAGCAATAATATTTTTTTTTAATAAAAAGCTATTGAATTTAGAATTTATACACTCTTTAAAGAATTTTCAATAGGCATTCATAAAAAAAAGTATTGCACGAATACCAATCATGTCATCACAAAACCCATACCAAATTTTGTTATACATAGTTTGACGTACTTGTAATTCAAATTGCATATATGTATGTCAATTTTTGTAGGAGGAGTAGCCATTTTAAGATCACTTAATAAGTTTCAAGTTTTTTCCTTAAAAAATTAATACATAGCTTTTCATGAAATTTTGAAAACAGAATCTGTTTTGCGTCATACATACACATAGAAGGCAACCAAAAAAAATTATGTAAATCGTACCATGTTCCCTAGAAAAAATAATAAACGAAAAAATTGAAAAGAAGTCTATACTATTGCTTATTAC